CGAAAGAGCTGCAAGAACACTGTCATATTCATGACATGTTGCACAACAACGCGCCCCACAAATTGACCCATAATTCGCGTACCCATCAACACTCGACCTCATGATCTGCTTATGAACCATTAATATATTTGAGAACCATTAAGCCATTGTAATATGTGCCCGCAAACACTCCACCTCGTGCGGTATTGCACCAAGTTGAACACACATTCCATTGACGAGCGCAAAAACACTCTGACATTCACAACTAATCGGAAGGCCGAGGATCTACAACCCGACCAAGAAACAGAGCGACACAGGATGTGTCCTCTCGTATCATGAAAAGGAAAGGATGGTCCACAATGAACACGTTGGGGGGGGGGGGCGTCATTGAACAGCCGACGCACGCTGTCATACAGCATGCTGCTACTGCAACTGTGCCCTGCTCATCTACCTCAACGCACACATCATGCAGGACATCAGAGATGCACATTCGGTGATCTTGACAATCGAATAGGTTTGAGAAATCGGAAATTTCCCAATCGAATGCGATCTTCATGCCAATATCCTTCAGCGACTGGTTGAGTTTCAGACCTGATGCCACTTTGAATTTTGGGAGCAGAAGTTTGTCAAGGTAGCTGTCGCACATGTTTCCGAACGACTCCTCAAGCAATTCGGCAGTCAACGATCCCTCCATCTTTGCAAGCCCATCCACCTCATCCGGGAGGAAAATATACATAGCCAGTTGACGGCAATCATCCGCTCCCCCCACCTTATAGGGCAATCGCAAAATCCGAAAACCGTTCTGCTTTCCTATTCTGTACATTCCATCATTCCTCATCATCTGAACAAACACAGTCTTGAAGCCCTCACCTTTGGCCGGTATCTTGAACTCCTCAGGGGCAGTATCCTCTTCATAGAAGACTCTCCGCCACAATCCCTTGAAGTAGAGCGCGTTAACAAGCACAAAGACAGAGTCTTTGTCAAGCAGGCCTTGAGGGACGATCTCCTGTATCTTTCTTGATGTCTGATTGCTCACCCACCGGTTGATTTCTTCACGTGCTTGTGATGCTGCTCCGACAAAATCTGTAGGCACCACACGACCCTCGTACATGGCAACGTGATCCTCATACTCCTTTTTCAACGGCAGCTGATTAGTCACCCAAAGTCCGGTCGCTATCTGAACTTTCACGGCTTCAGCTGAATCTGAGGTGGAGGCAGAGGTGGGCCCTCCAAGCAGATTCCTGCGCAGAGATGTCAAGTAAGAATGCGCAACGGCCCGATCTTCCGGAAGCCGGAGAACGTTAAGTATTTCCGTCAACGTGTTCCCGGCTACCCCGCCAGAGACAACCGCCAGCGCGAGAGCAATGCTCACGGGTGAGACTGCTATGTTCAGTGGCTTGTTGCTCTTATTGCCCATACTGGCCTTACCACCCTCGGACAATGCAGCACGGTAGAGCTCCAACATAAAAGTTGCTTGCCCTTTTACAAGATTGTTGTTACCTTTGGCCTCCATCTTTACAGTCTCTCCTCCACAGGTAGGTGGTGGCAGGCAGGTACTCTGGTCCCGTCGCCAAAACTAGTATTYAGCAGGTTACTGCCACATACCAGCTGGCGCGGGGGTTGGCTGGCCAGTCCACAAGCCAGCCCAACAGATACCAGCAGGTTAACACAACTGATGGCAGGAAGCAGGAAGAATAAAGCAGAGGGATCCTTCGTCAAAACGTCACCTGCAGTCAAGTCACGCCAAAGAGGGCCAACCACCTGGACAGGTGAGATGATGATTAAAGGGGACAGAGAGAACGGGGGCTGCAATCTCCTGAGGGCTAC